TGGGGCAAAATGATTATGGTTTTGGTGTACGAAATGACTCCGCGAAGTACATTTTTTTTGTAATTTAAAGTAATTAAATCTTTAGTGTTTTTAACCCCACTTGTTTGGGTCTGAGGATCCCGGTACTTTATTACCTTTCTCTGCTTCGGCTGGCCTGAGCCCAGAGGTCGACACCGGATGTCTATTCGGCGGACGGCTGTCAACCCGCACCCCGGACCTCATTTCGGCGGACGGACCCGGTCCTGTTCCGGTTCATCCAACCCCGGACGTTACTTTGGCGAAACAGCCAGGGGAGTACCAGCTGCTGGTCGTAGGAGGGCAAAAAGTACAGTGAATAACCGTTGGGTTTTAAACGAACGGCGGCGGCGCCCAAATAAATTTGTGTACAAGGGTAGTTCCTTCTTTTATTTAGAACTTCCCCCCTAAACACCGTGGGAATCATCTTGTATTGTATATATTGTTAACGGACTATATTTAATTTGTATGTTTCTCTGAGTACTGAAACCTCTTAACCAAATAGCTTGCAATGCGAATAAAATAGTAGAAGACTGGATTTCGTTTAAATGATCGATCTCGATTAATAACAAATATAAATGCTTTTTCTTGTTTTAGACCAGGCCGCGTAATTGTAAAAGAAAAACCATTCGTGGTGGGTGGTCGGAAGACTATGATCTAAAGCACTAGAGGCGTAAAAATTAGGTCGCCACATAGATTGGCAAGTAAATAGTTAGCAGTAGGTATGCGTTATGTCATTAAAAAGACGGGCTAAAGGAAAAAATAAAGGGTTTGTCAGTTCAATGAAATATTTAGATGAAAAAAAAAAACTGTTTTCGTCTTAGATGTTAAACAGGAAATCGAGCTCATAAAGTACGTTAAAGATATGGAGACGAGGATGGATATCAACTTGCCATAAAAAAACAATATCGCCCACTCTTAATTATCTGTAAGACATAAATTAATTAGGATTATTTGTTCTCGAAGTTCTGTAACTGTTGTTTCATATACCTAGATTACATAAGTGAGGATTTCGTTAAGTCTAAAAAGTTGTTGTTTTCATTTGTTTCTACCAAAACCTAGAAATTTTCGTAAATAGAAGCAAGGCTATCCCCTGGATCATCTTGCCCATACCCTTAGGATCATACCGGGATGAACCAGGGGATACTCACCGGGGAATATTCAAATATAATAATGAAAGATCAAAAAATAAAACGATTTTAGTAAGACAACATGTAAATAGATAAATGTTCAATCATTCAACGCTTTTACATCTGCTTTAAGCAGAATATCTTTTAAACTACCACTATTCTCCCTTAAAGGGAGCATCTGGTACACCTTTCCCCTAGAAGTATCGCACATAGCCATTTTTACTTGACATTGGCGAAATCATCTTTTATTTTGATGCAGCCATAGTATTTAAAAAAAGAAAAAGAAGAACTATAATATTTGAATTTATTGTGAATCAGTACAGAGTTCTAAAAAAACCGACCTCAAAATTACGTGGAATTACACCTATTGCCAAGTTTTTTTGAAATCGGTTACCAGAAAGTGTGCAAATCCGGATTCATTCCCTAGTTTAAACAGCTAGCGAAGCAAAGACAGTGCAAGAAAGGAACTACGACAACATTCCATCACGTTATTATTATGTAAATTTAACATTTTGTTTTCAGACATTGTCACCGATACACCTCAATATCAGGAATGCCTTTCTTTCATAATCCAGTTACCAGGAATTTCAAACCAATTAGTACGTGTCAAGTGCTAGCTATAGTACTATAACCTATACACCCAAAGGGCCGAAGCGTGACCGCAGCAAATTGATGATTTGCTTCGCATGTACGTAGCTTTATTTGTGTGAAAACAAGTACGAAGCAAATTACAGCTCACAACTAAAGTTATTTGTAAAACGTGTCCAAATTCTTTATTGGACGTTTTACCTTACAGCACACCTATACTTACGTACCGTTATAAAAAGTACATTCGAATGTACATCATAGAATGATCCAACTGGTTTATTTTATAAATGCATACAACATGCTACTAAGTTAACAGAATTCAAATTAATAAACAAAATTTAAATAAAAGAATTACAAATTTGATTATGTAATCGAATTTATTTATCAATAATGGTGCTGTCATGTTTTACACAATCCTTTAATAAATTGGAAGTAAATTGGAAGGTCCGTTTGGTAATTTTAAAATAAGATATTTAAATTAATAACTTTTTCACCTCACTAGTTCGGAAAGGCTTTCTTTCTCATTAGAAATTTGCAAAAGCGTTTCCACGCTACCGTGGTAAAGATTTTTAAAATTCGAACTTGAAGATGGACTGTGGTGCACCTAACTTTCTCTTTTGATGAACAAAAAAAATATAACGACACGTTCAACTACGCGACTTGTCGTACATTATTTATGTAATATAAATCGGTTGTTATAAATTATAACGCACACACTCAACATAGCCCCGCACTAGGGAAACCCTGTGTCGCGGGTGCCATGGACACACATATAGACAACCACAAATTACACCCAAACTCACGAGAGAAATAATTGTAGGCCATACAAATATTTCTCCCGGCCCGGGAATCGAATCTGGGACCTCTGCGTGGCAGTCCGGCATGGTAACCGTTCGGCCACGGAGGCAGTCAATTATATTTCATTCTTATTATTGTTGACATTACATTGACAACGATAACTAGTTTTGCTTATTAAAATTGACTTTTTATTATAGTTTAACTGTTTTTCTTTCATCTACCATTTTCCTCGCTATAGTGAGGTGAAAAGTTGTGTTTCGCTCGGCAGCAAAGTTGTTTTGCGTCTCGTGGCACGAGCGAACTACACTTGCAGCCTTGCATAACAAATAACTATTTTAAATATAATCCAGAATAGAGTGCTTTACATACATTTTAGACAGAACTAGTAGATGACTTCATCACCACAGTCAGTCGTGATCATGAAAACTAAAAAGCCCGAAACGTTGGTATACCTATTTGAAAAAAAAAAACAAGTATACTCGATTTAGGTTCGCCAAAACAGTAAAAAAAAGGTTTTGACGACCTCGATGGCCTAACTGTTTACATCGTGTGCGATGGATGTGGAGGTTCCGGATTCAATTCCCGGTAGTGCCAGTTTGGGAAATGTATTTTTCTAAATTGGTTCTGATCTGGGTGTTCTGGTTTGAGACCAGGCAATTGGCGTGGTTGTTTGCCACACAATTATTATTATTAGTTTCAGTTCCTAATATTTTTCTTTAAATAACCCATTATAATTTAAAAAAAGTATTGGTACATTTGAACACGTAATAATATTACAGAGCCAAAGAGGAATTGAAAACTTTTCTTGTAAAACCAGATTTATGCTGTAATTACTGAATTTAAGGTATAAATTTTACTAATGAAACTTCTTAAATGGAGAGTCTTGTTCGATGCCAAATACAAAGAGAAGTTATATTCACACCATTGTAGAGCAAGTAACGCTTTGTCGATTGCTTTAAAGTTTGCAATGTCTATAAAAAAAAATTAATGAAGTTTGCTGAATGTTTAATGGACGAGAAATCTCAGTTTTTTTTTACACCCAACCATTGACTTACTTAATTATATGGACGTCGGGTCCGCGCTAAAAAGTGTCCGAACTTATAGGGCGTTAAAATCGTATACAGAGCGTCATTCACGCTTTAGTCTTCGTTTGTTCGACTGACAGCGAAGCAAGCAAAATTAGACAGTAATGCGATGACATTACAATTTAAATTCAACGTTTTAGCTTTTTCATATTCCTTTACATGTCACTACGTTAAATAGGTTGACTTGGGACATTTTTTTCGTGGTGTTTGTATTAGACCCGTTTTCCATTTATTTGTAAGTCAATGCACCCAACACATAATTTATACTTATCAATAAGATTCCTTTCGAAAACCCTTTAAAGGGTTTATGTGAAGGGGAGTGCATCGCTTTTGTTACAACCCAAGTAACACTTTTTAATACTTATTTGCATTTCCTAACATTCATTAACATATCTATGTAGCTGTACACTTAGAATAATAACGCATAGAATGATAGTTTCATATCAAACGAACTGTCACAAGTGAGGCAAAAATCTAATTTATGTAGGCTAGTTTTAGTAGTAGGTTAATTTTCGGTTTTAGTGAATATTTATATAAAAATACAAGTTGAAACGCGTTACTTCCTTGTGGAATGTGATGTTAGTATCTATTTTATGTTTGTCTGACGTATTTTTACACTCATTTACCGCACATTTCGTCATTTTTAGCTAAAATTCTTGAGCTGTTCGCGGTGCAAGTTGACCTTGAGCACCGAAGGCCCGCCCGCTCGTGTAGCCCCATTGGGCGCGCTTCAATTTGCCTCACTTAGCGTGTGCGGACTAGGTTTCTATGCGTTATTATTCTAAGGCTGTACAGGTATCTTATTTAGAATGTCAGGCAATATGTACTCCGCGATTCCAGGTACGTTAAATGTAACTACCACAAATGGCTTTGATTTATTCCACGTAACAGTGAAAGCGTTGAATCAATATTTTTGGAAAAAATAATATAGTAAAATTGAGGGTATACACTGATTACTATATGGTGTGAAAACACGATTCATAAAAATTTTCACATAAAGTTATCTCGAAATTTTATTTTATTTTCGTTTTTTTTTTGCTTAAAGTTATTTAATTTGTATTCTTTCGGAGGACGAGTCATGTTTATAATGCGTCTTATGGTGGGTTAGTAGATTTTATGACACGCCAAATGTTAAGTCGAGTTTCTCTTTGTTTTTATTTAATACTGAACATCGTCTAATACGCATTTATGTGTTCGGATTGGCAATGCGAGACAATCCGTTTATTACGACTAAATTATTTATGTGTAATCCAGAAAAGCTGTAATTGACCTCAACATTGACTAGTATTAAGTACATTTTACTTGTAATACTTTCTTAAAAAAAATCGGTATATTCAATAGGTGCTTTATAAATACCAATGATTTTTTTATATCAACTGAACTAAATAGAACACGAATAGTATACGATAAACATTTTACAAATCGCTTTAATTTAATTTCGTTTGTAAAAAAAATAATTCTGAATTAAAGCCTGTGCCCCTGCCGCTCGACTCAAGCAAAACAAACCGTATTAGTACGGGAAAAGGTTGAATTCGAGTTGAGATAGTATGGGCTCTTAAGGAGAGTCTGTTAAATATTCAGCAACTGGTGACGCACTTTCTCTTCCAGTATTTGGTAGGAAATATACTCCGTTCTGATTCAAGTTTCCCATAGCACCTTCGAAGAGTACATCGTTTATGATATGTTCGGCATATCTCCTTTGGTCGGCAGCTAAGCGATAGAGTTTTAGCGCCCAGCCTTTTGCTACACGGTCACAGTCGAGGCCGTCAATTTCCACATACGAACTAGTTGATGGATATACTACTGATTGTGGTGGATCTTCTGTTACGATTTTTCTTCTCTTGCGCTTTTCTTTCTTTATTATGACTAGTGGATCTGGTGAGACGATCTCGGTCTGTAATAGAAGAAAATACATTAAACAAATTCTACATAAAAAGGCTCAATTTATATTGTGGCGGTACGTAATGGAAGCGTATTCTTGTAACCACAACGTACTTACATAGCGTAATGAACATTATGGTCAATTGCAGTAGCGACGCGTCCCTATAACTCGATTCCCACCGGCTTGCGTAAAACTTTTCAATACGTAATTTACTACATATGGTACACAATTTAAGTGTAGAATAAGTTAATCAGTGAAATGAAGTGTACTATATATTATCTTGTGTGCTAATAAGTGTTTTACATAAGTACAAAATAAGTTTTTGTTAGGGTAGATGTTTTTGTTTAGGTTTTACTAACGACTATATTCACGCCTCGCCACTGGTCAATTGTGTAAAGTACAAACTAGACACGAACCAAAATCTTCCGCAGAATACCGTTCCGTTCCGTCGCAATATAAATTGAGCCTTAAGGTAGAGATGACGTCTTCGAAAACTCAAGTTAAATCCCTGGGTAGCGGACTCGGGGGAGTTTTTGCTCAGCTTGGACGGGTTCGATAAAGAAATCTCGTTTACATTTGGATCCGGGGGACCGATGTATCTCCCTTCTCGGGAAGGGGCTGCGCTGGACGCTGCTCCAGCTGCTGGTGGAAGCGTGGACCAGAAATAGCGTGCCCGTACCTCCACCTACAGCGAAAAGGAGAAACACCCCGGGGGGTTGGTGCGGTCGGGCTGCTTCCCTTGAGCTCAGTTCCACATAACCCCGACTATGCCCCCGCAGGGCCGGGGTATCTGTAAGCGGATTCCCCTTAGTAAAAAAACGTTTTGACGACCGATACCTTCCGTTTGAGTGGTTTACACACCGGTTTTCATGGTGTCGCCGTCTTTGAGGTCCCAGATTCGATGAATGAGAAAAGCCGACTTTTCGATATTATCTCGGAACTGGGATTTCTGGTAGTGGTGCCGTCGGCGTCGTTCTTTCCGATTTCCATAGCATAAGTGCTGTAGTTACTTACTTTGGGATCGAAGCAACGTACACACATCAAAAAAAGTTTGCGATCACTTTTAAAACTTGAAATATTTTTTAATTTCTAAAAATATTTCAAAAACCTCTTTAGTGATACTATTATTTGTTTTTAATTTTAATTATTTATTTAATGTTGTACTTTTAACAAAAAAACTATTTATTACATATTTCTTAATAATATTTCCACATATTAAAAATATGTTAAGTTTTCAAACTGATCGCAAACTTTTTTTTATGTGTGTACTTGAGGTTGTCTAATATTTATTTATTTTAAATAAATTATACACTTTTTATTTTAAACTGCTATTTTGACCCTTACGAATAAATAAGATATGTATTATTTTACAATAATGCATTTTGGCAAGTTTTATAACTCTAGGACCATAGTACAATGCCGTCGTCCACAAACTAAAACGCCGCTGACAAATGGTCAAATATCTATTTTAAATAGCAAAAGGTAGGGCACAAAATTCTCTTTGAAAACGGTTAAAATTTACGTGTTCGATTTAAACTAAAACTGGGTTATGGTTTTTTATGATATCTCAAAAAAATATTTTGTCAATTATCCGCGTTTTTATTTTGTGGGGACAGCAGAATGGTTCATCAATATTTCGGTGCAATAGAGCTTATTTTTATCGTTTTTAACATTTTACTAGGACGAAGTGAAATATCTTTTGAAAAAAAAAACATTTCAAATGGAAATACAATATTTTATCCTGTCTAATTCGCGTATATTTGTTTTTTTCAAACAAATTAACGTTTCAGACTCTTTACAAGTCCCAAGGTCACGTCTAAGTTGATAAAAAACTTCAGAGTCTAAAGAACCGTCAAGCAAATAAAATCTCTATTCAAATAAAAGCGACATATTTTACTCTGTTATATTATTATCTCTTATGTACATTTATTCATCCATCCAGTAAATACTTCAAATTTGTACTTAAATACTTTACTGTAATGTTTATTAATCTATTGTTACAAAACAAATCGGGTCTCCGTGTGTCTCCTTCAATTTTATAAGTAAACAGTAAGAATATTATGGAATAAGGTCGAAGGGCAAGGGAGCGGGGTGTGGGGGCCACAAACCGCACTATTTACTGCTGCCACAGCGCGTATAGAGGACAATCTAAACTAATAATAATATAACTTTCAATGTAACCTCAAAAGTTCGTGGTATTATATCTATATTTGCCAAGATTTTATGAAATCGGTTAACGGAAAGTGCGCGAAACCGGATTAATATAGTTTGCCACACTTACAGGTGGAATATTTTTATTCAAATTTCAATGGGACGAACACTGAAATACCCTCTTTCCAACAAAAACGAATCATCGAAATCGGTTTACAAATTAATTGCGTAGTAATTGCGGAGTAATTGCGTAACAAAAAAAAAAAAACAGTCAAATTGAAAACCTCTTTTTTAAAGTCCGGCTAAATATAACGAGCTACATAAAAAAATCACATTATGCAACATTGTGTTAATTAATTCTTGGCTACATTATACATTTTCCTTATAAGAGACCCGTGTTTACCTGTGGGATGTGTGTTAGTTTCTGTATGTACAGGACAGCTGTTTTAAACACTGACTAAAAAGTGATTAAAATAATAATATACACTAGTGTTATAACTCAAATATGTGAAATTCGAGATTATACCATTTTGAACGTAAAATTTGATTCTCTACGTCATTAAAACCGTCGTTAGAATGTTGTAAAAAACAACTAAAAGATATCTACTTAACAACTTAACTCAAAATGAGACACGCTTTATGTGAGCTAGTTCTGGCCAAAATAGTCCTTATTCAAAAATATGAAACTATTTTTTCTCCTTTATTTTTAAATAATAATATGTATATTTGGCAAGTAAGAAATAACTTATACATAAATTTACACAGATCTTTCACGGGAAGCGAATAATTCGTTTTTCGACGCTATTGTATTAACAGTGCGATAAAAACTAATTTAATTCAATAAAAACTAATGTTATAATAATTTATATCAATGTGTTATTTTGTTATAACATTCTTACCTCTGTGCTATCCCGGTCTCTCTGTTCCCTGTCCCTTTTTAAAACATCAACCAAAAAATACATATCGTGATAGTACCATATTACATTCTCGGGTGGCGCGGGCGGTGCGTCATCTGAAGAGGTCACTGACTTCCTACTTTTTTGAATTTTATGTACCGCCTTGTTAAAGTTCGTTCTCAACACGTTTATTTTCTTCTTCAAAAGATCAACCGTGAACTCCGGCCTGTAAACACGCAGTGCATTCACAATGTCTTGTTGCGCTGTTTGCCGTTTAGTTTTATCTAAATAGTCCGTCCTTCTAGAATCCCACAGCACAGGACTTTCACGGTATAATGATATTAGTAAATGCACAAATTCTTTTTCTGATATTACACCTGGAATGGTCTTAGTTTGACGTTCGTCGTGAATGTCGTCCTCAGTGTCCTCCATGTTTACTGACCCGATTGAAACTGAGCGAGAGAGCGATTGTCAAGCCAGCAATGGCGGCAATGTGGTGCGCAGATGCGCATCGCAACGCACGCGGTGTGTTGTTATTGGTTGACAGGCTGCCCCCAATGAGTTTGAAGCGTTTCAATTGGTTTGTTGGTTTGATACTGAGTCAATAACGCTGTCGTCAATGGTCAATATTTATTGTCAGGAGATTGTTAGTGTTGTGTGTTCCAGTTTACGGTAGTTAAAATTATTTTAATTATGACAAGTCTTTCTAATTGAATTATTTTCTGAACTGAAGTAAATATAGTTTATAAAGATTAAAAAATTGTATTGTAAAGATTTACGTACTCAACATTGCGTTTGAAAGAAGTAAAGTGGTGAATTGATAAACGAGGCATTTTCCATTCGCGTGAAGGATTTTTTACAAGGAGTTTTACTTATTAAATTCAAGTACTATTGTGTTTTATATATAATATTATAATAAAATAATAAATTGTTATAAACTGGAAGAATTAAACAAAATGTTTTTATTTTGTTAACTATTGAATATTAAAATAATAAATAGTAGAAAGTGGATACAAGAGAGGTATAATGTAAAAATATGAATAAAATCATATTACGGTAATTTTAATTTTCGGAGTTCTTTGCCCGTGATAGGTAGGGAGCAGGTTATATTATGTAACAAGCATTTGGTAAGGTAAGGAGTATAGTAATTTAAATCATATTTTTATTTCCGGACTGATTTAAATGCTTGTTTGTGGCAATAGTTTTCGAATTGATCACATAGAGTTCATAGAAATACCGTTTCGATATTCACCAGGGGGCGCTGTAGTAACTTAAAAATCACTGTGTGTCGTGGATACTATGTTCTTAAAATTATTTTTATTGCCTTTTTATATTTAGTTTTTACTTTGACAACATTAATAAAAAATACATAAGATACATATTATTCATTTACATTTTTTTATAATTGTTATAGTTATTCAGTCTCTTGGATATTTATGATAACGCACTGTAAGACTGATTTATTAGAACTCTTCCCAGGAGCATTGCATCTACCTAGAAAATAACTTTTGAATTATAATTTTGGAGTAACTAAGTTGTGAAATCTCTTTCTCTATGCGCTATTCTCTGGTAGGGCATTGTTGCTGGTTGAATAGAACTTTGCTTTAAATTCAAAATGTGTTTTCTTTGGAATGCGTTAAAGTTTGTAAATGGAATAGTTTTTGTTTTTACAACAATGAGACGCAGAGATGCATTTAAATTTTGTTTTTCCGTTGTTTAAAAAGATTTAAAAATTTTATAAAAACAAATTGTGGTTAAACAAAATATTTTGAACATTTATTGTCGAAACTTTTTATATAAGAAGACTATTTAGTAGCTCATGGCATGAAAATCTGTAGTACCTTTGTGCCTAACAAAGGTTACCGGAAGACCAAAATTAAGTTTTTTATATGAAGCTAAAGTCGTTTCGTATCAGGAACTTTAAAGGCTTGTTCAGATGTAAGCGACAGAAAAATACCGCGCGGTATCCCGTTGGGTGTTTGTATGAAGTTCCGGGGTTAGAACGAAACCGGGATACTTATGCGGGATCTTTTTGATTGCTTTGCGAAACAGGTTTCGTCGCACAACGAGGGAGCAATGGCGAATTCGTCCCTCCGCGCAGCCCATAAATAAGTTAGTAACAATTCGTTGACATAATAATAACAAATGGTAATGAATAACGGATTTCGCTACAGATTACTAGATGGTGGTAGCAATTTCCGGAGAGATGTGAACATACTTCCGTATATTTTCTACTTTCCCTACCAACCTTTAGGGTATACAAGAAGGGCACTATAACTGCACTGGAACCTTATCAGTCAAGTCCTGACCCCAGATCAACATGGACTTCATCCGGTTCTCAAATGGCTAGTGCCTTGAGTGAGCTGTCCCGGGAGCACGTACGGACCCTCCCTATTTTCGGGATAGGTACCGGAGTTGTTGGCACGCTCACCTCTACATTGCTCAACTAATGGTTGCCACCGAATCCGTTTTGACCCCTAACATTATTATGTATATCACAAATTAAATTTGTATTGTTTTATTTTCTTAGCTTTATTGACTTGTATTTCTCAGGCAACAAAATTTCAACCCCCCGCCCTCTAAAACGACAGTTTTTTAAACAGTTTAAAATTATTAAATAAAAAATCTACATGGTATAATTATATGTTTTCTTTGATCTGTGTGTGGTATACGCGCGATCGCGCGACCCTTCCCATACTAAATTTTTGAAAAAGTCAATCTGAATAGGCGTCAATAAGAATAAAGATGGGTGGCGTTTACTCTCAAGAGCCTAGCTCTGAAACAAGATCAAGACCTTTGTTACACTCTGTAGTCGTCGTTGGAGTTAAAGAAAGGCAACAGGGCCTAAATTTTGAAATAGTCAAATACGTTGTTTGCTATTAGTTTTTAAACAGGCACCTTTTGTATGTCATCACGTGTGCCGCCGCTTCATTCGGTTTTAATTTCGCGTAAAGTAAAGTTGTTACCACAGCTCTGGTATTTTATTAACATTAACAATATCGCACCCCTCATGGAAGAATGACGTAAGTGGACGAATCCGACCGGATCGAAGGAATATTGTCTGAGTGTTTTTTCTGAGTGTTCGATCTTTGTATTAATAATTATAACAAACTAGTGGAGTAATTTCACAAAAAATAATTGAATATCAATTCAATAAAAATTTAGTTAATACAGTGAATAGCGACATGTCTCGCCAGGACTGGTAGCTGTAAAGGTACTAACTGGGTGATAAATCTGTCAAAGATTTCTCATAGATGGCGCTACGACTAAAAAGTCGTTGAAAGACCAAGTACAAAGACACGACGCAAGCACATAGAAGAATTCGTGAGATCCGTTGGTTCGTTCCGTGGCTTAGTTGGTATAGCGTCTGGCACGGTATGCAAGAAGACGTCGGTTCGAATCCGACCGGATCGAAGGAATATTTTCTGAGTGTTTTTTCGGAGTGTTCGATCTTTGTATTAATAATAATAACAGACGTAAGTGGAGTTACGTCAAAAACGTTTATTGCTCCATTAGATACAAAAAATGTAACCCAAATCTTCTCTAATTCTTGTAAGTCTATCTACAATATTAGTCGATAGAGTTACTAGAATTGGGGAGGATGTGGGATATGTTTTTCTGTATCTAATGGAGCAATAAATGTTTTTGACGTATCTTCACTTATGTTATTCTTCAACGAGGTGTGCGATATATTAGACTAATTATGTTCCTGAAACAGTATGAAAATTCTACAGGAAATTACGCCACTGAGTTATGCCCACACAGCACGCTTAGTATAGTCATAAAATTCAAAAATAAGTACAAGTCGGACATTGACTTACAATTATATGGACGTCGGGTCCGCGCTAAAAAGTGTCCAAACTTATAGGGCGTTAAAATCGTATACAGAGTGTCATTCACGCTTTTGTTCGACTGACAGCGAAGTAAGCAAAATTAGACAGTACTGCGAGTACATTACAATTTAAATTCAACGTTTTAGCTTTTTCATATTCCTTGACATGTCACTACGTTTAAATAGATTGACTTGGGACATTTTTTTCGTGGTTTTTGTATTAGACTCGTCCATTTATTTGTAAGTCAATGGAGTTGGAAGAAACCATTTTATCGAATCTCTAAAGTTCAAAAGTCACAGAACAAAAGTTGTTGTTTATTATTATTTTAGTAATCTATTCCTGCGATGTTGTTAGCATTTTAAAAATAACCCTATATACTTTCGAGATCTATTAGGTACTGAACTACAGAAATTGGGACAATAGCAAACGTTCTTCGCTTATTACATTAATCATACTTACTACACTCTATTTACCTAGCTCTATGTTTCCCAAAGTTGTCAATATTAACCTCCAGGGGTTCACTCCGACCAACAAGGGGTCCATGTCAGCGAAAAAAGAAATTGGGGTGAATGAGACGTAATGGGGGCCACGAGAGTGTCATCCATTAAGGCAGGTCGTCAGTCGTGACTAAAATTTTTATTTTCCATAGACGAAATAATCCGCATTGCCCTGATTAGAGATGGGTTATGGATAAATATCATTGGGATAAATACTCAGTAGAAAGATAAATATGGATAAATATCCATATTTATCCATTTTTACTCGATATTTATCCAAAAACGTGGATAAATATTTTTAAGCTTAAGGCGAAAATGATTAACAAATTAGGCTCTTTTTAAGTTAAATTCCTGATAATAATAATAGTCCAATAATCACAATAAATATATATGATTGCTAGTCCTTAAATACTTGAATGTATTGAGCAAAACTACAATTTATTAAGCTCTTATAAAATTTACAGTTACGTCCTTTAAATTGAAAAAAAAGCAATTTCTCTTTACGTGCAAATATCCGTTTATAAAATTTAGACGAAAAAATAGATAATTTAATTTCAAACATAATGTACTTGGTACTTGGTGTACCTAACGGGCTAGTGTCCGCAACTCGACGTCAAGGCGCCTATTTTGCGTGTAAAAATAATGTAACAAAACATAATGTATTGTAGACTTTTTTTTACTTATATAGTTAGATAGATAGATAGATAGATAGATATCTATATCTATCTAGTTCATAAGTTAAGTATTATTATTTGAAAAAAAAAATCCTTCCCACTTGCGAGGTCTGCGCAGTACTAGCGTAGTACTGCAGTCGTCTTTCAGGCTTTGCGACTGCTGGACTGCGCGTGAGTTTTTGAGCATTGTTGACAAAAAATTGTTGTTTTTAATTAATTTCACTTGTGTTTGTGTTAAAATTAATTTGTACACATATATTTGACTTTGTTTTTATATTTTAGATTTTGTAAATTAGTTATTTCGATATATTTACATTGCATTTTTTTAATAACTACCAAAGACTAGACAATGTAGATATGCCGAAATAAAAAATAAATCTAAGGTGAAGTGTGGAATTTGTACAGTATACATGCGAATAATATGGCAC